TTAAAACTTCAGCCTCCTAGACTCCGTGGTTCCCGAGATATTAACTTACCCGTGACTTACCCGTGAGAAACTTTCATGGGGCCGTACTTATTACCCGCGGGTAAGGGAAGGCTGATTTTGAATGGGCAAGGTTGGGCATGGGCAGTGGGTCATTACCCTAAAATTTCAGCCTCCTAGACTCCGTGGTTCCCGAGATAATTTACTTACACGTAATCACAGGGCCGTACGCGTTACCCGCGGGTACGGGGAAGCTGAATTTAAATTTGCGGGGTCACACGTAGCTAAAATTTCAGCCTCCTAGACTCCGTGGTTCCCGAGATATTAACTTACCCGTAGAAAACTTTCACGCAGGCCGTACGCGTTACCCGTGGGTACGGGGAAGCTGAATTTAAATTTGCGGGGTCACACGTGGGTGGGGAATGTTCCCCAATTCAGCGCTTTCCTAGCTTTTGGGTTCCCGAGTTGAAAGTTGCGGACAAGTTGCTGCGGACACACACACACACACACAAACACACACACAGACAACTCCGTAACAATATGCGTTTTGTACTGCTGCTACACAGCACAAAACACATAAAAAACGGGCACTGGTACTACACCAGCAACAAATGTACGTCGGTGTGAATGTAAAAAGACTGGCGAAATTGAAAAATGTGAAAGTGTTCGCAGTACTACTATATTAATCATAAAATAAACATAGAGACACTAGAGCTAATGTTCGTCATTTACTTTTGTGCATATGGGATGTAAAATAAAAAAAAAATCAGAATTTTGGGACGTGAAATAAAATTAGAATTTTTCCTGAGTTTCTTCGTAAGAAAAAATGCCCGATCGGAAACACCCTAGCAAGATCAGATGATTTCACAGAAACTTGTGCCGTTTAAAGCAGTATTAGCAATACAGTAAAATCTTAAACAGAAAAAAATGACGAACCCCGCTCATGAGCTCTCCAACAAGCCCATTCCATTTGCCATTGCTCATCTTTGAGCCGTACGTTTTATCCTTCACCTCGTGCAGTATGTACTTAAACTTCTGCAGTTCGGCGATTTTTTCAAGCAGTTCAATGCAGTAGCCCGTGTATCGGTCATTCTCATCCACGCTATCATTTAAATTCTCCTTTAGCATGACAAAAGGTTGCTCCTGCAAACTCAAGCATATATTCAAAAGCTCAAAGTCATCGGCAAAGCACCTAACTCATTCATTTCTAGCGAATAGCCTAAAAATAAAGCGCTCATTATGGGTTTTTCTACATATGCAAATGCAAAAACGAATATTAACGAGAGGCTGCCTGTGTATTCGCAGTTTTCGTCGCCCAGTTTCAATTCGAGAACGAGAAATGGTAGAGGAAGCTTCAGAAGTATGTGCCTACACCATGTGCGATCCCCTTTCTATGCGTTTTGTGCTGTGTAACAGCGTTACAAAAGCATATTGTCACGGGGTTGTTTGTGTGTGTGTGTGTGTCCAACATTTTGTCTCGCACTTTCAACTCGGGAACCAAGAAAGCTACGCGGCTGAAATTTTGGTATAGTGTTCCCCGCCAACGGGTGACGCGGCAAATTTAAATTTAGCCTTCCCTTACCCGCGGGTAACGCGTACGGCCCCCGGGAAGTTTTTCTCGGGTAAATTAATATCTCAGGAGCCACGGAGTCTAGGAGGTTGAAATTTTACGGCAACGACCCCCTGCGCTCGCTCAACGTTGCCCATTCAAATTCAGCGTCCCCGCGTCCTCGGGTATCACCTACGGAATAGTGGAAGTTTTTACGGGTAAATTAGTATCTCAAGAACCACGAAGTCTAAGAGGCTGAAATTTTAGGGTAATGATCCCTGCCCACGCTCAACCTTGTCTATTCAAATTCAGCGCTCCCGCGCTTTTGAGTATCACCTACGGCCTCGTGAAAATTTTGGCGGGTAAACTACTAACGCGGGAATCACGGAAAGATATTCACCCTTCAAGGTTTCGAATTCAGCTTTCATGCGCTGATGCATGAAATTT